ATGAGAGAGAGAGAGAGAGAGAGAGAGAGAGAGAGAGAGAGAGAGAGAGAGAGAGAGAGAGAGAGAGAGAGAGAGTTAGTGTTCCAGCGGAAGTTAGTGTTCCAGTCAAATAATAATGTATCATTCGTGAACAATGGGCCATGAGTCTATGTTCATTCAAAATTTTTATTATCAATTTCAATGAGAAAATTATCATTTGCATGACGGAAAATACACCAACAATCTGAAAAATATATTTGGAACTTACACTTACTTGTTATTATTATCACCATGATCAATAATTTATTCTTAATTTCAGAACGTGCCAATTATTTCGAAGTAAGAAATCAATTTGGTCGACGCTAGAGAGAAAAAACGATACAAAAATTCTGGTGAAATCATATTGATTACGGTGTTTGAACTGACATGTCTCATCCAAGCCCATGAAATGTTCGCCAACGTGTCACAAGTTCTATCCAAGCGTTTACAAGCGCGTTTCATATCTGCCATACTTGTTCGCTATGTATGCGCCCACACGTTCGTAATGTATGAATATTGCAAAGTTGTATAGTTAGAAAAGGTCAAACATTTTTGCTAAGACACCAATGCGATATACCTTGGCATTAAAATGGAAATCTCCACATATCACGACAGAAACATGCTCTAATTTATCAAAATATAAGTTGTCCAAAAACATAAACTACTCTCAATCTAATCGTGGATATGTATGTTTCGAACATCTCTTGAGCTCGTGAACATTTGGATAGAACTTGTGACACATTGGCGAACGTTTCACGGGCTTGGGTGACGTGCATTTCATGAGCAAAATTTTGATTAAAATCTTAGGTTTTTTTTTCAGTGGCGCTTATCATTCGCTTGCGATAAGGCGACGATAACGAAACAGCAATTCCCCTTCGAACAGTGTATTTAAATACAATGCCACAAATAGCAAAACAATTAATTGAACATTTTCGGAGCCGGAGGAAAATTAAAATCATTTCACCAACGGAGATTACATCGATTGTTTGGCAAGAAAATAAAATCAAGTGAGAAAGAAAAATAAGGTTCAAAGGAAGAGTTTCAACATTAGCGCAAACCGATTTTCAAGCGGATAGTTTTGATCAATCATGTTTTTGGCATTAGTTTTGGCATGTGGTGGCATCCTCGCATCCGTCGACGCTCGTACAGCACCACAAAGTATGTAATTTGTTGTTGTTGTTGTTGTTTCTCAATATTTCGGCTTGCTTGCCTAATCATGGAGGATATGGTATCGCCCACATGTGAAAAAAACCACACAAATTTATTTTCATTTCATCGATTTTCATTAAGAGTGTACGGTGAACATAAATTCGGACTTGGCCACACCACAACCATTATATTTCTATGGCAATACAACGGATCTTGTGACAACGACCACTGGCACTAGTCAATTCAATTTGGACGGCAAGCAACAAATCGAACTTTTTTGTACGGACGGTTTTCGCAGTCCATACGACAACGACATCACCATGCTTACAGCCACATGCATTTCGGGCAATCAATTTCGAATTAAAAATAAATTAGGCCGTCTTATCGATGCGATGTGCAACAACTATCCGAATCATACGACTCGTTACACGGATCGAAAGTGTGTTGCCGGTAACATTGTTGAAATCGGTTTCGATGTACTAGGTAAGTTCGAGTGACAAGTGTAAGAGTATCATCGTACACATTTTATCAAAATCGACCGATATTGGTTCAACTTAAATAACCACACTATTTTCTTGTAACAATTTCAAAGGTTCATGGGTGCCCGTCTTGGAAATTTGTCATGATGTAAAGACCGCTACAACAAAATGGGCACATCATATGCTGAAGCCCAACAATGCCTATCATCAACGCAATGTTGAACGTATCTTTTTCATTCAGGGCGATTTTTATCGTGGCCTTAAACCAGACTCCCTCTATTCGAAGTTTATGCAACATAAAACAATTGGACGGATTCTGGGCTCGGAAGAATTAGCATCGAAAATTGTTGTGAACAGCACTGATTTCTACATGGCACGTGGTCATTTGGCAGCCAAGGCTGACTATGTGTTTGCATCCCAGCAGTTGGCCACTTTTTATTTCATAAACGCTGCGCCGCAATGGCAAAGTTTTAACGGAGGTAATGAACAAATGTACTTTCTACACTGTAATCACTATTCCTATGGAAATAATGCCATTTGAAAATTCTCTAAAATCCAATCATTCATCAAAATACCATTGAACCATAAATACGTACATTCATTAGTTTCAAACTACAAACAGGTAACTGGTTGAAAATCGAAATTGGCGTGAAAAAATTCATCGAAAAGCGTAATATTGACACCGACGTCTATACCGGTACATATGGTGTATTCTCATATCCCGATATTAACGGAAAAGAGCAGGAAATTTATTTAGCATATAGCAACACAACGAATGGAACGAATCGAATTCCGGTGCCACGTTTCTACTATAAGGTTTTGATTGCGGAAAGCATCAATGCGGGAATCGTATTCATTGGCGTTAATAATCCACATGTATCGGATGATGTTGTTGAGAAAGAGTATATTCTGTGCCCGGATGTCGGCGATAAAGTCAACTACATCGATTGGAATCGTCGAAATGTAACGGCTGGTTATTCGTACGCGTGTTCCGTTCCTGATTTCATCAAAGTCGTCAAAGACTTACCTCCATTGCCAAAAATCACCAAAGTACTTCTGTAGTATCTAATCATTATTGCCCACAATTTAGCAATCGCTCGATTGTTCGACTGACAAGCCCCACACTCACAACAAACACATACCACTAGAAAGTAAATTAATGAAATAAAAAAAAAATAAAAGGAAAAACAAATTCAAGTATATTCATACTGATACCATTTATTATTGAGTTCATTTTACGATTTCAGAGTTGATTTGTCATTTATGGATAAGCAAGAAAGCGTTCTAAATTCGAAAAACAATTATTGCATCAATTCTTTGGAATGCATTAAACGATGAAATGGACTTTCAACCGAACAGCAGACAATAATGATATAAATGCTTCTCATTGTGGAAAAATCCGTTTATTTTATACATATACAGTCATGGACAAAATTGAGCGTACGCCTATAAATTTTGTGTTTTATTTTTTCCAGTAACTTTTCATCTCAAATGTAATATATCAACAGGAAGTACATTGACAATTTTGAACATCTAAATTGGCCGGCCAATAGGCGGCTTATGGCTCTCGGTAAAAATGGCCAAAAATTCAATTTTTCTCCAGCCGTTCGATTTGAAAAGTTTAAATGCAGTTTTGAAGGCCTTCAGGAGCAGATACTTTTAAACGCTGAAAACTTTCGGATCGGCTTCAATTTGGGCAATTTATGGCCGTTGGAAAACCCAAAAAAATTTTGACGAAAATTTTCGTACGCCTATAACTTGGTTAAATTGTAACCGATTTCTATGTTTTATACTATTAAAATTATCTTCATTAAATGGGCTTTCCAACGACATTTGACATTTCGCAATCAAACGCTTGGTTTAATTTTTCGAAAAAAATCGGCCATTTTTCCAACGGCCATAACTTGGCCAAATTGAAACCAATCAGAAAGTTTTCAGCGTTTAAAAGCATCTGCTCCTGAAGGCCTTCGAAACTGCATTTAAATTTTTTAAATCGAACGGCTATGGAAAAAGTTGAATTTTTGGCCATAAGCCGCCTATTGGCCGGCCAATTTTGATGTTCAAAATTGCCAATGTTATTCATTTTTCATGTACTTCCCATTGATATATTACATTTGAGATGAAAAGTTACTGGAAAAAATAAAACACAAATTTATAGGCGTACGCTCAATTTTGTCCATGACTGTAAATGATTCATAAGTTAGTCGGCAACTATTAAAAAATTATCATTTTTCATATTATTCCATAAAAATATGGAATATTCGAAATTGCTGGATGGTGTTTCAGTGTATTCCAAGAAAACAACCACTTTTCTTTTATTCATGACTCTGTTGATATGCTAATGTATCAAAACTGCTATTTATCTCGTTGATAGTACGAGTTTTCATTTTCAGTTTGAAATTATATCACAATTTTTTTCGGGTCCGAATTCCTTTTTTACCTAAGGTGATGAAAACAAATATCTTGGTAAAATTTATTCATTTATGTAGTGAAGGTTTATTACAATTTTGGTCTGGATTCCTTTTCGATTTTAATTTATGAATATAACGCAGTGTCGTCAGAAAAGTTGAACGATCAATTTGCATCAACTGAACTTCTGTTTTCGAGAAGTTTGGCACACGAAAATGTATAAAAATTCTTGCCATTTGGAGTATTTTGTCAGTAGCAAAGAAGTCCTTATGACTTTGAATTCTTCTGCGTAAATTGTGAGTGAAACGTTAAAATTTGAAAAGAAAAATTGAGTCAAGGTAAGTTGAATATTTCCCTTGTGCAAATAAAAATGACTAACAGCCACTTGGTTTTATGTAGCGGTACACTGATTTGAATCAATTCAAAATTGTGCATAGATGTAATTGCGTTTAGCTTTTGTCTCAGTTATGCGAATAATTTTGAAAGTTCCCATAAAGCATTGATCAATTCTCAACCAAAACGACTGAAAATAGTTGGCTGACTCCTATGTTACAACAGTTACATACACACAGTGTGTTAATTTACTTCGATTTCTTGAAGACTCTATTTTCCGCTATTTTTAAATCACACGAAATATTGAAATAAAGCATAAGATTATCAAATAGAAATTGAAATTGTCGAATTCGTTCGTTGTGTTCAGCAACACAACTGCATGCAGTCGAATCGAATATATTATATGTTTTTTTTTTCTTCAAAACGTTTATTCAATCCGTGTCACACGTTCTTTTGATTCAAACGCATTCAATTGTATAGCTTCCCATATTATTATAAATAAATATAATTAAATTGATTGATGATACTTTCAAGAGGTTCAAACTCCACTGAACTCATATGCATATTTGTATCATCATGAAAATGTTTTTTGGACAACCGAAAGTATAATCATAGACGAGCAATTAATTTTAAAATTTACAACCGTTATATTGGACAGTGAAATTGAATTTAAATCGCTCTATAAAATAATTAATAAATTCATTAATCATATATATAACTGTTATTGTGCGGTTCAAGCAAAGGACGTATTTATTGACGTTCCCAGATTTCCAATTTAAAGAATGACTACCAGATTCGCCCTATTTGAACTTTTCATGATATTTGTACGTGAAATTTATAAGTCCATCTATTGAAAAAAAACCAAAATCAATTAAAGTTCAAAGTTTTTCATAGATTATCTATGGTATTTACATGTGACACATACAGCGCCATCTATTGAAAAAAGTCACAATCGTGTCAAGTTGAAATAAGGCAGAATAACCCAGAAAATGGTTGTCATTCTTTTATTGCGGCTGCTTTTCATTTTTTTTCTTCTAATTTTCATTGTTCTTTGTCAATTTAATTTAAAAGATCTCGAGTTCTTGGAATTCGATAATTGGTTTTTACTTTGTGAGATCACCAATGATTTCGCATGGTTATTACAATGCGCACACAACACCTGCATTAATTACATATTGCCAATAATTACACGAAATGAAAAGTAATTTCAATGTCAACCATATGGCATCGCTTGACTTCTAATTTGCTTTTCTAAAAAATAAGTTACTTTATCAAAAATAAAATGATACATAAATTATTTTCTGTCGGTTCTTCGCTATGCAACATTATCTTTCGCGACAAAGAACATTTGTAACTAAGCATATCAAAGATAACACTGAACAAACAATAGATTGGAATAATCTTCGTTGTATTCAAACACATTGGTCTGAATTAACAATAATTTCGTCTAAATTCCAGCTGAATTACGAGTCGATCAATCGATATTGAAGTATCAATCATGTTTTTGGCATTAGTTCTAGCATGTGGTTGCATCTTTGCTTCGGTGGAGGGTCGCGCACCGGAAGGTATGTAATTTTTGTTGTTCATTTGTTTGTCATATTTTGGCTTAGTTGATCATGAAGCAAATACACAAACTTTTTTGATTTAATCGATTTGTATTAAGGGTGCACGGTGAACATCAATTCGGACTTGGCCTCACCGCAACCGTTATACTTCTATGACGGTTCAACGGAATTAGTGTCAACGGATGCTGGTACCAGTCAATTTATTGTGGGTAGTCAGAAAAAAATTGAGCTTTTTTGTACGGACGGCTTTAACACATACAACGATCATAAGCTCACAGCAACTTGCATTTCGGGCAATCAGTTTCAAATTAGAAATAAGGCAGGTCGTCTTGTCGATGCGGTATGCAAGAAAAATCCAGATACTACGACTCGTTACACAAAACGGAAATGCGTTGCATGCAACATCATTGAAATCGGCTTCGACGTGAACGGTAAGTTAGAGAGGCAGAAATGTGGTAAAACATAGGAGTGTGATGGATTTGCCATATTCATTTCATTGATCAATGAAATTAATATCAATCGATTATTACCAGCCTCTCTGATCGTCTGTACAAATAGATAGGAAACGTCAAACAAGAACAATAAAGTGGCACCTGGCGACTGGTTGAAGAAATAGAGAATCATGCACATAGTTTGCTGTAACAAGTATGCGTTTGTGTAAGTGCGTCTGTGTTAGTTGAAACGTTGAAAGTATGACACATTGCACTTAGTCCCCAGGTGCCGCTGTATTGTTTACTATTTTCATGATCAGAAAGGCTGATTATTACTAATCAACTTCTAATTCTTGTGATTCTACTAATTCCGAAGGCTCATGGGTGCCCGTTTTGGAAGTTTGTCATGATGAAAAATCCGCATCAACAAAGTGGTCGCGCCATATGATTAAGCCAAACAATGCCTATCATCAACGCAATGTTAAGCGTATCTTCTTCATTAAAGGAAATTTTTTCGGTGAACTCAAAATCGACGCACTCTATTCGAAATTTGTGCAACTTAAAACGCTTGGACGGATTTTGGGCTCGGAAGCATTGGCATCGAAATTTATTGTGAACGACACTGACTTGTATTTGGCCCGTGGTCATTTGGCTGCCAAGGCTGATTATGTGTTTGCGACTCAGCAGTTGGCCACTTTTTATTACATCAACGTTGCACCACAGTGGCAATCGTTCAATGATGGTATTATTATTATGTTCAGCACCAATGGAATTACTTTGTAATACAAGTATTAATCAGTTAAAATTTTAAAATGCTCTTTTGGAATATTTTCAAACTTTTTTTTTGGTAGGATTAAAATGTATTAAATCATTTTTATTCTTCATTATTAGGTAACTGGTTGCAAATTGAAATCGGCGTAAGAACTTTCATCGGAAAGCATAATTATGATATCAATGTCTACACCGGTACATATGGAGTATTGTCATTGCGCGATGTTCACGGAAAAGAGCAAGAAATTTATTTAGCACCCGGCAATAAAAACAAGGGAATACCGAATCGAGTTCCGGTGCCACGTTTCTACTATAAGGTTTTGATTGCTGAAAGCATCAATGCGGGAATCGTTTTTATTGGCGTTAATAACCCACATGAATCGGTAGAAGTTATCAAGGAAAAGTATATTTTGTGCCCGGATGTGGGCGATATAGTCAACTACATCGATTGGAATCGTCAAAACGTGACGGCCGGTTATTCTTATGCATGCTCCGTTGCCGATTTTGTCAAGGTGGTCAAAGACTTACCTGCCACATTACCGAAAGTCACAAAACTGCTCCTCTAATGGGGCCAATTCATAATTTGTTCAATTTTTTACTCCCCGCTGAGTACTTTGAAAACAACGAGGTTTTTTTTTTTTAAACGAGCCGAGATGTATTTTCTGTCTATCCCTCCGCATTAGAATTGATTCAAGTAAAATTTGGCAATGTAAATGAACAGATGAATAAACCAAAAAATACCTATAAAAGAAAATAGCGAATGATTTTTTTCATTTTGCTGATACGAAATGCGTTTTGTATTCACCGTTCTTCTATGAGAAATCAAAGTAAGTTTTGACAACGCAATCGCAATTGCGAATATAGGACATGACTCTGTTGATACCAGATCCCAAGGTGTGTAAATGCTAGTGCAAATGTTTCGGCAGATTTATCATGGAAGTATAGCTAATGCATGGACTAAAATCGAATGAAGCCAGAAACGATAGACATTTTACGAATGATCTGACATTCACAAATACATAAATCCCCCGAGAATATGTAACGGATTAGCAATTCATCCATTTTTCAACTGACAAAACTCTACACTCAAAATATGTCATTCGAAAATGGATGAACGAAAGGAGAGAAAAAAAAAACAAAAGAAAATCAAACACAAGTATCATAATGATTGTGACCAATCAGTTTTGAATTGATTTTGTGATTTCAGAGATGATTTATTCGTTTATCCATAAGCAAGAATGGGTTCGAAAATTGAAAACAAACATGCACTGCATCAATTGATTGGAATACATGAGGGAAAAAAACATCAATGATAATGATAACAATGTTATTATTCTATAGACATAGGCAAGGTATGGTGTATACATGCATGAAGGTAGGAGCCAAGAAATTAAGCCGATGGTTTGGAGCTAATGTGACGACTTATGAGTATGCATGTATGCATGCCATCAAAAGATAATGGTAAAATATAATGGCAAAAAGCGTCCAGCTGGAACGTTTCATACAGATGTATAACATTGGCATTGTCTTCGGTTTGTGCGCTGTGTGCGCTGTACTGTTCACGGTTGTTGAGGCTTTTGCGAAAACAATAGAAGCAATAATTTGTCGGAGCATGTTAAACATGGCACAACGAATCATTCAGCAATTTCCTTCATTTAAATTTATTTATCCTGTTTCGGTATCGTCATCATTAAGTGCTCTCCATTTTACCGGGCGGATGCGATGAGCATAAGTTTTGGCGGTTTTCAACACAATTTGAAGGAATCACGCTTTGTTGCTTGGAAAGCTTTTTGTCAAGCTTTGTTTATATTCGAATAGTGAATTAAAATGGCACCATTTCTCTCTATTTTGGTTTTTTTTCCGCTGCTTTCCATCCTCCTTTTCTCTCTACCTCGTCCATAATCCGATTAAACCATGCGAATCCATTAATGATGTTCAATGTTCATGCTTTATTCAAAAATATGATATGAAATACGTCAAACAATTCTAACCATGTTTGACATGTGATTATTATTATGGATTCATTCAATATTTCATCTCTGCGTTTGTCATTGGGAAAGAAAAAGCTCGAACAGAGTGATTTTAGCAATCTTTGTCATTTCAACGACAGCAATAACAACAACAACAAAATGTGATTAGACGTAGTGATTGTGTGACGTGAATGGGAATCAAATGTGTCATATTCATTCATTTTTTTTACAGCAGAAAGATCACAAAGATGATTGAATTTCCAAATGAAAGGGGCTTTGAAAATTAATTTAGCATGAAAAAGCATGTACGTCAATAAGTTCACTTCTGATGCATAAGCTGATGCTTTTTAAGATTAGTTGATGTAATATTCCCATATATGTATAGCTTTGTTCGGTTTTTTTTTCTTTCCAGCGCCCGTTTGCAGCTTCGGTAGAGCAAATGGGTGGAAAGAATCACCGAAATTTTCGCGCACACATTTGTGATTGCGCTTGCAAAATTTCTTGCTGAATGAAATATCTTTCAGCCAATTTTTCAAATGGTTTGGCTTTTGTGCTTTTCACCGGGCGCACACAATGCACAAAAATTCATTCAACATTCATAAACTCATGACAATGACAAGTTCAACAGTTTACCATTTTCACAATGTTTGTTGGGAGTCTCTGTGTAGGAAATGCATTTAGAGCATTTTTCCCTTCGCCTGTTTCCCTCACAGCCAATATGTTCGTTGCAGTGAATGCAATTCACCGAACCAGCGAGAGGGAAAAAAAGGAAATACACATGATTCTCGAAGAATTTGTTGCTTTTTTCTCATCTTCTTCGAAACTTCTGAAAAAATGTAATAAAGGATTTTATATAAACAGGTTTCTTCGGGTTTTTTTTCGATTCAGTTACAGTGTGTACCGGGCACACATTATTATTAATGTTGTGATTGCTTTTCCCTTTTTGAGCACTAGTTTCGAAGCGGAAGAAGAAATATCAATCATACTGTTGATGTTACAACTTGACTTGCATGCGCTTTTCTCTCGCGCACACAGAGAGACACAGGGACACAAAGAGAGAGCGAGAGAGAGAGAGCGAAAGAGAGCGAAAGAGAGAGAAAGAGAGAGAGGATGAGACACACACACACACATAAGAAAAGTGATGTCAATATCATGAATCTGCTTCCCTTTATGCACCCAATTCGACTTTACGTCAAGTGGACATATGTGCAATGTGCATAATTGTTAGTTAGCAGCGAACGATATTAAGAAAAAGAAAATACGAGTATGTTTGTGTGGGTGTGTGTAGCAGGAAGATGCAGCAGCAGAAAAAGATCGGTTTGATAACGATAAATGCAGCTGTGTCGTTTGGACGCTATTGGCGACAAGTACAAGTACACTGCAAGCAACGCTTGTCAAGCTTACTTTCTCTCGTAGGACGCGCCACTTACTTTGTGTCACCTGAGAATTCCGGTGAAGTTTCTCGTTCTAGTAGTATGTGCTGAAGAGAAGTAGTTGTTGTTTGTGTGTGTGTGTGTGTGTGTGTGGGTGCCATGGCGCAAAAATGTATGATAGTGACAAGATGATAGCTGTTGTGCTTTTTACGTTACACGTTATTCGTTGTGCGATTTTTTTCTCTCAAACATTGGCCATATATAGCAACGTCAAAGTTTGCGAACAGAGAAATCATCATTGCGAGAAGATTCCGGACGTAGCAGCTTCATTCGGTCAGGTACGTGCATTGAAACTATCACGTGAGCATCGAACAAAAAATCAGAGCGTGTTATGAGCTAATGTCAGCAGCACTAACTAACATCAGCTTGGTATGTTCAATCTCACCAATGGTAAGTTTACTCATCATTTCGTTCTTATACTGAAAATGCGTTAAAAAAACGCAACGCATAATTGTCAGCAGCTGATATCAGCAGCTGACATTAGTTATTGCTGCTGACATATTAGCTCATAAAACGCCCTGCAAAAAATTTATTGCATTTGATCGGATCACAACGAAATTGCTAACGAATATGATGAATTTTCCATCGATGGCTTTTCAATCATTTTAGCATTTTCCATATTAAACACTTCAAAAGTCGATACGCAGCACACAGCAATTATTGGAAGATGAATAAAATATAAGAACCCAGTCGGAAATATAGCGAAAACATAAAAGAGAGTCATTAATGTAAGATGAATTACAAGCGTAGTGGCTTGTTTTCGTTCAAGTAGGGAGCAAAAAAGTGTCATAAATTATGATTAACAGCGAAACTAAACGTCTTCCTTTCCGTCAAGTACTTTTATTGTCGTTTCATGCTTAACGATCTGAAAACTAACCTTGGGAAAAATCAGCTGTTTTTCGCCATCGACATCAAATCGAATAGTGATGTGATAATGAAGAAAAAAAAACCAATCTCAGTGTTTGATTGCTGATTTCTTATCGGACAATTTGAAACAGCTATAAAAGTCCGTATTGGTTCAGTGTCATAATGTTGTTCAAGCACATTGTGTACCTTGCATTGGATGTATGGCTGCCGCATATAATATTACAACAAGAGTGCAATGCGAATGGCGCATCCAAAATAGATGTGACCTTCTTTCCATTACCCGAGGTACTCGAATTATGATAATCATTCTTAAATTCATTCTTTGTTGTCCCGCTGAAATCTTGTTGTTTTGTTCGTTTGGATATTCATCATCTCTTAATCGGAATTTTTGATGAGTTGAGTACTTCAATCAAATTTTTCCAAAAAAAAAAATGCTGTTATTTTTGGAGATTTCATCAATTCGTTGTGTGCAAATGAATATCATCAATATTACAGTGTTATCGCTAGAAAATCGTTTAGATAAGCTGCGTTAATCGTTGCAAAGTGTAATCTGGTAGCAATCCACTTGAAAAATCGTCTTTTCTTGTTCGCTTGAAAAAGTAGCGTTCGGCTCTCAATAATGCAGTTGGCAAAATAATTTGTGCAGTTCTCGTCCATCGTTCGCATGCTCGAATAATAGCGTCAAATTTGTTTCGAATGCAGTTTTCGCGGGATTCATTTTCGTTTGGTGTATTTGTTAAAAAGAGAAAGTGTGCAGCTTATTCGACACAATGTTTGGATTAATGCGCTCCGCCGAATACGGTGACTCAACGACCGAACAGTATAACCATGGTGAAATGGTTAGTACAGCTTTTTGCGTCATGCTCTGGGTATTTGTGAGCTTTGTCGTGTTAATCTTTCTCGTTGGCCTCGGCTACGCAACACTCGTCTACGCACTCAAACTATTTGAAATGCTGTGCTGTGCACCCTGCCGACGTAAAGCCCAAAAAGACTCACCACCACCATCATACGATAGCCTATGTAACTAACAAATCATTTTTTTTCTTCTGATTCTTTGATTATCTTGTTACTGTTTTTTTTTCTTGCATTTCTCTATGAATGGCTTTTCATTATTAATCTTATTGACTATTTATATAGACTTAGAATGAAATCGAATCGATTTGGTTTTTTTTGTCGTTCATTCGGCTCATTCGAACATAACACTGTAATTATTTCGTGTTTGGTGTATCGACAATTGGATAGACTGTAGTCTATATATATATATTCAAAGCCTATAGGCTTAAGTATACCAAATCAGATTTCAAAATATGTAAAAGTAGATTGATCTAGACAAACGCCAACGATAGAATACCCATGATTTAATCGAATTGGCCAAATAAGAATAAACGAATGAAAATGAGTGTGGCGTAAGTGTTGTTGTGTCGAAAAGGATAAACGTATTGGAAAGAGAGAGAGAGAGAGAGAGAGAGAGAGAGAGAGAGAGCGAGAGCGAGGGCGAGAGCTAGCAAAGTAAAAAAAGAATTATTTCTGATAGGAAAAATGGCAATTAGTCATTAATTTATTTGCGCAATTTCGGCGAATATTGACGGTTGCTAAAGGACAAATAAGTCACTTCACAACCGTTGGTGATAACGAACATCTCGCACAAAAATATTATTTTATCGCATCTTGAATGCGAGACGGATTATAAATCTGCCAAAGGTAAATCGAATCGACTTTTTTTTTCGACGCTTGTTACGATTAATTACGATTTGATGGATAAGGTTGAGCCAACTTTATGCGCTGGAGGCGATCATTCCGTGAAATTTCATCTATTCCGAAATTGATGTCTACCGATATTTTTCAATTAGGATTCAAAATAAAACAATTGGATTCACTTTTTCACTTTGGTAGACCAAATAATCTTCTATCTATTCGAATAAATGCCCCAATTTGAAATTGTATAATGTTCAGGTCATTGAACGCATCCATTTGATTGAATGACAGTAGTACAATGGTTTGACAGTAGACAAAATGAAAATACATAAACATTCACTTGTGCTTACGGTTCAATGCCAACGATAAGTACATTTGATTAAGTTAAATTTATCGATCTGCCCCAAGAATAACAATAAAAAAAAACGAATCATATTCTTCTTAAACGCCCGAAATCCACCACAAAGGAAGTTGTGTTCAGTCGGCAGGCTAAGTGTTTTAAGCATCGAATCAATCAATGAGATGAGATTATGTGAATCGTTGAAAATTGAGTAAATCGGTTGGACGAAAAAAGAAATAACTCTCTAAAAAATGCTTAATATGCGACCCAAAGTCATACAAATGTATTCATGCACGTAGTATATATGATAGAAGAGAAAAAAACGCAAACACAAATAAAACGAACAAAGAGAAATCGAGACTAACAAACATTCCATGGTCGTTTTTTTTTAATTTTCAAAATTGGTTAGACACTGGAATCCCAATCGTAGACACCGATTTCCAACTTCAATTTCGATAAAGCTAAGTTGAAAATAAAATATTGTGTGTATACTCATCACAATTTCATAAACCGTTGATCAACGAATTCTCTCGATTAAAAATAAAAATGGATGTGTTTTGGTTTATAGTGATAGTGATTATAATATTTTTAACGTGTGCAATGTGTAAGGCTGGCAAGCGAAAACCAATATTTTCAGGTGAGTAGTTTCGATTCCAGTGCGTGCGCGTTTTGTTGCTCTTGATTTTACACCTGTTGATTCAATTCAATCACATTGAAACCGTCTATCAAATCAAATGATAAATAAATGCGTTCATTAAAATAAATCAATATCAATGTCTGCTACATTGTGTCGTTCTTTTTTCCTTTGTTCGACGCACACTTCAACTATTGTGTAATTGAACATTGTCGTATTTCATCAAAGTCAATAGTTGAATACAACAAATTTATGATTAAAAATCATACATTTCGTGTTTATCTATTTCCATTTTGTCTTGTTCTTCATTTTTCGTTGAATATATGAGTCAAAAAAAGTCGCGATCGTACGTACGTTAAATTTCCTGAAACTAAATCATTTAGTCCAAATGCAATTAATTCATTACAATTAGCAATACAAATGTGACGCCTATTATATATATGAAGCAATGTGTATAGATATTTTTAGATTAGCACGTCATGTGTTCAGCTAAAATGAATTGTCGGTAACATTTTTTTCTTCATTTTTCTTTGAATAGATACCATCAAATTCACAATATTGGGAAAAATGAGAAATTAATTAATTATGTTAATTAAATTAATATATGTTTATCAGATTATCGAAAAATTCTGAAAATTCAATATAATGACGCAAACATATTGTATATCGCACCAACTCAAATCCATTGCTCGAGTGCTTCGACATTAACATAAGCAGTCTAACAGGCACTTGCTCTCTATAGTGTGTGTCATATAGCCTGACAATTCGCTATTTCTATGCATTGCTCTCGCAATTTTGACATTTGAATAAACAGTGTTGTGGTGCGATTAATACGTTTATCGGTTTATTAGTATTTGAAAAGAGAATTTGGCCACAGTTGTAATTTATCAAAGTTAGTCGTCAAAAGTGTTTTGTTCCTTTTTTTGTTGCCGTTCCCATTCAGTCCACCGTATTCGTTCACAATGGATGACATCAATTTTCCGCGTTTCGATAACAATCAAAACCATTTCAATCGAGACACATTTTTCAAGGATAGCTTTTACAATCAGAACAAGGATTTTGAAGAAAGTTTTGCCTTCCATCAAAAAGTGTTTTTCACAATTTTCGGCATCGTAGCGATATTTATGGCGTGTATCATCGGCTTAGTGATATTCAGCATTTGTTTTCGAATTTGTAAGGGACAATCGTACCAGGATTATCGGCGCCAACGTCGTTGTCAAACTATCATACCGCCGCCACCACCCCTCACCAATCCATGTAATTATTTTTCCCAACATATGATTTGCTTTCGTTTTCAGTTCTTTTTAGTTGATTTTGAATATCGATTATGTGGTGTCCACCGTAAATACACTGGGGACAACGTGTTTGTTTATTTTCTCTCTCTCTCTCTCTCTCTGTGTGTGTGTGTGTGTGTGAATGTTTTTTCCCATTTGCAAGGGAATTCCAGTGCCGTTTTGTGCGTGTAATTTATACAGAAACGTATGACTCATATCTGCCGAAGTGCTAACATTCAATTGCATGCACAAATGTGTATGTAAATTTCGCGATACGATAATTTAAACAGTCTATACTTTCATTATAAACATGTAATACATGTCATGTATATACACTTGCATTGTCAAGTCCCGTTATCGGCGGAATTTCACAATCTGAGCCGGGTGTTGCGCATTTTGATCGCTCACATATCGTTTTTGTGGGCATCATTCAACTGGTTGTATCAGTGCAGTGAATGACTGGAAACAACACCAAATCCGATGAGATGACTTTTAATCCAAATCTCGTTTCTTGCTATCAGTTTGGTTGTTTAGTTTTGATGTGGTTTATTTGTCCATTCGCTTGCAAAATAGATTCCAGTTTTCGGGTCTAGACATGAGAAATTTGGATCGACTCTGGATCTGTGATTGGTGCATGCCGCATGCAGCACCATTGTCACCGATCGAAATAAATTGATGAAAGAAACGTGTTTGTGAGCGGTTTTGTACGATATTGACCTATTCCACCCATGACAATGACTTTCCATCGACAAAGTTAATTAAAAAGTTTTCAATGCTATGCACTCGAGAAGAAATACCATTTGAAATCAGGGAAAATATTTAAAATATACACATCAACACTAGAATAGAGACATTTTTAGCAATTGTTTCGCTATTTTTGAGCATCAAATATACTTTCGAGGGGCTTATGCAAGGAACGAATTACTATTGAAAACTGGAATTCAGTTTTTTTCGGTACTTTCACTATACTATTACACTAGAGGAAGTACTGAAAAAAATACATTTGCCGAAATATTTAATGCATTTACGCCATCTGTATCCGATGCAATAAAATGTTTGATAGATTGGTTTTGTGGATTATCAGTTGTTTTCAGTACTTTCAGTCAATTCAGTAATAATTCGTCTTTTAGGCTTATGTGTCATGCGAGTCCCATGAGTCAATACGAAAAATGTAGGCAACTGTGCGATTCTTCCATATGAGTTTGCGGGTCACTGTTTCTTCGGGAAAAAATTTGACTGACTCGCGTAGATTCGTAGATTCGTATGTTCCGTGGTAGGATTCGGGAGTCAGTTTGTGTGAATTTGTACGAGTCAGTACTGACTTGCAATGACAAATAAGTCCCTCGCATATTGTGTCCTACCAGCCAGCGATCATTTGATGATAGCGTGAGCTGAGACCGTTCGATTCCAAACACAAATCAGAATGCGTAGCCACAACAACAAAAGGCAACAAATCAAAACAACTACACACAAAAAAGCGGCAACAGCAACAAAAATAATACAAGGAATGTGTTGTGCTGTGCACGCTCTCTCGTATTTGGAGCAACAAGTATAACGAATCCGAGAAGTTAGATAAAAACCGAAGTGGCCGTTTATTTATGGCAACGCATGATTCTCGTTTTCAACTCGAATCTCTCTGTTTTGCTCGTCTCATTCCGCATATACACCGAAACATGCCCATCGTCGTCGTCGTCGTCGTCGTCGTCGTCGTCGTCTTCGTCGTGTTCGGCCGATTGTTTTTTTTTGTTTTATTTCTGTTACCAATCGTCGTCGTCCGTGGCCGTTGTTGTTGTCGATCCAATATATTTACAACTCCTTTGCGTTCGTTCGTTCATTTTCGCTCTGTCTCTCTTTCTCTCTGTTTTCGTTCAATATTCAGTTGACTTTATTACTGATGAACCATCATTTACATATATGCGTTCCTGTTGCTCTTTTCGTATGCGACGACGACGACGACGACTATGACGACGGCGACACTGAATCAAGCGAATACACACATGTTGTTGGACAGAGAAAGAGAGTGAGAAAGAGAGAGCGAGAAAGAGAGAGCGCGCGCTCGCTCGCTGCACACTATGAACATTCAACTGTTTGTTTGGTTATTTGGTTATTTTTCGTTCATCGTCGAATCCGCAGCTAAACCATTATCAGACGAGACATTTTTCACGCATTTCATTTCATTTCGCACTTTAGTCAGATTTCTCGGACAATATGAATGATCGTGTTTTATTCCGTGCAATTATTATTAATATCACAACATTTGGTCAAAGTTTTCGCCTAGTGCGCGTGTCAACTGAATGAAATTCGTCAAGTATTGAGTTTGGATTGTTTTTTTCGTTTCGTTTCGATTTGAATTGCGATTCAAGATTTGACACAACTAAACAATCTCGAACAGGGCAGAGCGAGAAACAGCTTGAGCGGAAGAGTGAAGTAGATCTCTCTGTTGGAATACGCGTAGTTTTGTCTTTGGTTTAATTTTGTGTTCATGTGTGTGCATGTGCTTTTTGTGATTCCAACAAAATGCAGCAAAATCCAAATAAACAAACGAGTTGATAAAAAGTGACACATAGATATACCATATATCTAAAAAAAATATACACATAGATCGAGATAGATTGCTGCTGAAAGAAGAGAAAAAGACCAAACACGCACAACAAATTCAATAAAACAACGCAACGTGACTTAGGCATCGTAGTTTATTGGTCGCAAAATAAACAGAGGACGTTGTTGCAGTAAACGCACTCACACACACACACACACACACACACACGCATACACATATATTCCCGCAGTCGCAAAACATTCGCCAACACGAAAAAAAAAAACAAAACAAAAACGAGAAATAAAGATGCATACGTTCCATCATGAAGATCATTCATTCAATTCAATGACGTCGGAGCATGTGTATCCATTTGTCATCGTTGTAATTGTGGTGCTGACCATCCTCGCCTTTTTCTTTGCTCTCATTTACAGCATCGCCAAATGTATACACAAGTCACTGAGATATCGCTATCGATTCGTGTCATGTACGTACCTTTTGTTAACACACAAACAAAAACCGACTCTTTTCTCTTCCAGATTGCACTCATCAACAATATTATTTTTGCGGTCGTGTATACAAGTATAAATATATGAGGAGCGTCGAGTGAAATGAACGCCCGTATATGAATGTATATTTGTTGGAATTCACTTTCCATTTCGCGAAAAAACTGTAATTCAATTGGCGTGCCAAAAAAAAACATACATAAACATAGTTAGCCGTGCATTGTCAAAACAATTCCGATCCAAATTATTGCAATTCATTTCCATTGCGTCGAACAAAATGGTCGCACTTCAGAAATGCAAACACAGGCTGCTATGACTTTTATCAATTCTGAAGTCATGGTTAATAAATTCAATAGCGACGAAAAAGACAGCACATACACACACACACAAACACACTACTTTCAATGACATTGACTGAAATCAATCACACTATTTGCAAGTCAATAATAATTGGAAAACATGTATAGGAAAATATGCATGTTGTCACGAAACGATTCGTTGTGGACAGGGAACAGAAATTAAATAAAAGAAATACAGAACTAAATAGAAATAAAAAAAATTGATCAACAATTCAATCACGGGCAGAAATTCACTCAAGCAAATTAAATAGCCCCTATAATGGATTTCAAAGTGATGCGACCGAACAGCCGATGTATCGATGCGGAACCGCTTTACTACATCGCCTACTAAGTGCAAATCTAATTTGAAGTTCATGTTGTTGTTGTAATGGCTGCAACTCTTTTTTATATCGATTAGATAAGTGTGCCGTTGTCTAAATCAATTGGCTACGGTATTTTCTGTTTAATGCCGAGATAAAGGTCGTTATCATCAACACATATACGCTTATCTATTAAGCACTGGAATCCAAGCTTTTCAAGATCCTGTTGCGCTTTTATCGACACTCAAAACAGTTAGTCAGCGAAACTGGTATCAAAACGTTGATCGCATTGGAGATTTCATTGTTGTTCAGCCACTATTTGGAAATGGCCGCTACTGAATTTGTGACATTAGGTGTTTTTAGCATCCTATTGGCATTGCTTTGCATGGCCTGTGGCATCAAGCGAATTCAACGTAGACGCCGAAATCAAGGCCTTGTGATCGGTTTGCCAAGCCAAAATCCAACGGGTACAAGCATCTGGCATTTTTTGTCGATTTTTTATTCGCTTTTCTCATTCTCGATCTCATCAGCCTATTTCTATAAATAAACCGTTCATATTAAGGTGTCATTCAGTGTAAATTGTTCGCGGCAATTAGGCACGGCTCATAAACACAACCGAAAACGTGATGTACAGCCAATTTTGTTCCGTTCGATGAAAAAAAGGGGAACAAGTGTCAAAGTTCAAACAAAGTAGCAACTGGACAAGAATAAAAAATATTTTGGCTTAAATATGAATTTCAAAACTCTCAAAATTAGGTCGTTACATGCACGGCTGACGCATTCTTATGACGTGCACTACAAAAATTGCTTCGACGAAATGATGTGATTATCAATTTGGTTGTTATTTTGAACGAAAATGTAAACACGAAATCAAATCGTCACAATTATTTCATAATTGTGTGGTTTTAATTTAAAAACATATTCATCAGAGATTCCCACGAAATGATAAACAAGTGTCAAAGTTTAATTGAGCAAAAATGATTGAAACCAAACATGAACTCTTAGAAATGCCATGAAGAAAATGATGAACTAATCGATTTCCTTTTTGTTTTCTATTAACAGCACCCGTGGTAGTGACAACGACAACGATTCCAACAGTTCCACAATCAGCCGGGTATCCTGCGCAAAGCACTATCGTTCAAGGCTATCCGATGCCACAACCACAGCCAGGGTAGACTATTTTGATTGAGTTTTAGCTCCTTTTTGTTTTCCACCGACTTTTTTTTCGATTTCAAGTTTTTAATTTCGATTTCTTCTCATTGCGTTTATAGATATCCGCCACAGCCAGCGGGAATGTATCCAAATCAACCTATGCCACAGCCATACCCCATGCCTCCGATTCAAGGTAATTTTGATCGAAACACTGTTACTTTTATCATTTTATTCCGTGCTCTTCTTTTCAATTCAATGTCACTAACTGATTATTTTTTTTTTTGGTTTTGACACACAATTTCCAGCTGACTACAATCCACCGTCGTACGATCAAGTTGTGCGTGGAGGTGATGCGTATCAGAAACAGGCACCATACAATCCAAACTATTCTGGGCAGCAATAAAGCTCTATGGTCAACTTAAGTGCATTAGTCTACCGTACCGATCAATATGAAATTACTAATTTTATAAAGAAATAAAAATTATATGTGATCATCATAAGCATAAAACAAGATAAAGCAAAAAAGAATATTCGTTCCAGCATTGATACACATATGTATGTGAAACAAAAAATTAAAATTGAAATTGATGTTTTGTAGTTGTTATTCGACGGAAGAAAAAAAAAATTTATTCAACAAAATCGATGAAAAAAAAACTATTGTGAATAAGCTAGTGGCCTCCCGTACAATAAGAATTTTTTTTTTTGTGTTTGTATCTCTCTTTCTCTGTTGAAACGGATAGGAGTTTATGGAGAGAAAAAATTTGATAAATTGATTTGTCAACATCGAATGAACAAAACTGATTCATGATGATGAATGCGGTCACAACAAAATAGAAAAAACACTCAAACAAAAAAAAATAAACAAACAGACAAACTCTATGATGTGAATACAATTTTTTTTCATTTATTATTTTTTTCTTCCTTGGTGCTTCCTCTCTATCTATCCGACTAGTACATAATATACGTTATATATTCATGGGATACATGATGATAATGTCCCATGTGTGATTGCGATTCTATGCACACGATGAACAAAAAATAAACTGTAATTTCTTTATTTAATTTTAAGCCAATTTTTTCATTTGATCAGATAACATTTTCGATTTTCATTGTAACAGATATGAACAGGAGAAAAAAAAACTCTATAGAATTTATTCAAAATAGAAATGAAACGATTGAAATTCATACCATTGAATGAAAAAAGCATTGAATCAACATTTTATAACATCAACCATAGATATAATAATGATAAATAGAGCTGAAATATGCATTTTATAGGAACAAATAAAATTTAGAGAAAAACTAACATCTGTGGTAAATGTTAAGCAGTCTTAAGCATAAGACATGTGTAGAATAAATGAAAAAATTTAAAATAACCGAAATCTTCTTTATGGTTTTCGTTCTTCTGTTGATGTCATTGTAATTTTTGTTTTTGTAATAATTCTCCCCTTGATTCTATCGAACTGCGAACAGCAGCCAACGGCATAAAGTTCTGCGCAGAAAATGCTTATTGAAATAATGGTACCAAAAAGATATACATAAATCAATGGATAAATTTGGCGTAGGCCAACAATGGTGAAATCGCGTCCATCACCTTCGCAAGCCGGTTTCTTTGGTAACCATTTCGCTCTCGTTTGAAATATCAATCCAACCTCATGCATCCAGAGTATTCTATTAGGAATTGGAGAATGGTATAAATCAATTTTTGTCGGTGGATTCTGCAATCAACATAAAAGGTGTGCGTACGCGTATGCTGTTTTGTTCGTACCTTTGCTTAATCAGTTCCTTATAGGCGCTATTTCGTGCCACGGTGATTGTGTTCATCGGCAATGGAAACACTTTTATTTCGCTCAATCGACATTTTTCCAATTCGGAATACGTTCTCTGTATCACATTGTAGGCACTGGGAGTATCAACAAGAAATGCAAATAAACTGGCACGAACTTTACCAATACCAATCGATTCATCAGCAATCCACGCATCTGTGCCCATCGGCTCGATTTTCTTCGCATACACCATTCTCAAGATACGGTGACTATCATCGGATGAAAAAATGCGTCGCACTGAACGGGTATCCTTCAAAGCAAGTGTTAATGGTGAAGCTAATAGGTCGTCCAATGTGTGAATCGATTCGCTTGGACTCTGTAGCAATGCAACGATGCTCGCTGAATATGATGTAAATAATGCCAATGTTGCTACAAATGTTGTTATCAATACAAATCGACCGGATAACGATGGAATAAGTAAATGGGTCCCTTGTTGGCATACTGCACCGAAAACAAATGAAACAACATCGAACAACGTGATCTGCGCCTCAAGCAACGGATGCCCCATTTGAATTCCCATAATGAATATAACGCAGAGAATCAACGCTGCACAACAATACCACACTGTCTTATCCAATGGCAATAAGAAAATGTTTGATACTGCTGACAACGGAGGCTGTCGAAAAATAATTGGCGTACTGCGAATAAAAACAAACAACAACAACACCACCACCACCACCACCACCACTGAGTCAGTTCCATCGAAAGTCGACGCACACGAATACATAAATAAAGAAATTAAAGAGTTTTTCGCTTACTGCTACGGTTTACCTTATGGCAAAAATATCAGCCGTAAACTCGGCATATTGCAATTGCTCAGGTCGCATATTTTCGGCATGGGCCAAAGTATCGATTCGATCTTCTCGGTACAACGCCATTGTGGCAGCAGCCAGAGTGCTTTGGTTCCATTCATAATTGCTCATTTCAACTATGTCGCAACTGAAGATGTCGAGCGGCCAATGGAGTGAAAGAAAGAAAGAAAGAAAGAAAGAAAAGTTAAATGAAAACAAAAATCGACCAAAGGACCGATTAACTCGACGCAAAGAAAGTTTTACGAAAAATTTAAATCGTCTCGCAAGAGCCAAGACACCGGCAACGTTGATATAGCTGCAATGTCCATCTGATCCAATCGCGTGTTGTCAAGGTATGTGAGTGGCACCGGTTCCGTTACCTACCGTATAATCTAGTTAATTGATACATCCATTGATTATATTCCCAGTTTCGTACAAACACTCACATATGAACCACAACGCAAGCGTAGCCCCTGTAAATTCTTTCGGACCTTTGTCTTTGCCTTCTTGCCGTCGAACTCTTCATTTAATCGCCAGCCATTTGGTGCACAGCTATTTTGCCCATTTGTTTGGCCATTTATCGAACCGAGCACGGACACTCTTAACGGATGATTGGGAGCAACTTTATAAACATCATAAAGGGTCCATTTATTCTCTTGAGCATCGAAACGAGTCAAAACCACTTCACTATTTGGCAAAATATCCAATTGGCTCATAATCTTGCCTGTATCTGTCTACGGGACGAGAATGAGTGAGAGAGAGAGAGAGAGAAAGAGAGAGCGAGGAAGTGGGATGAAGAGATTGAGAGAGGAAGAATAAAAAATCGCAACTATTTAAAGTGATTCGTTGAACTTTTGTGGAAATCACTTGAAATATAAAAGTTTTTACCAAGTTTTCGTCCAAGTTTAAGTGCAATTCATCACTGTTTGCAAGAAAAAGCCATAAATTGTTGCCATTAAATAAAAGCTGATGTTGTTCCTATAAAATGGTTTGTTTGATATTTTGAGCAATGTGTACGTTGACAATGATGAAATCTAAGGGTTCTAGAGATACGTATTTACTTGATTGAAAATTGATTCAAATCCATCGCAACTCATATCGACCGAAAATCCTTGTTTCACATTTTCTTTGCCAATGACCAAATCGTTCACCTTCGCAAAGTTTGTAATCAATCTTGATTGTATGGCGGATAACTCGAGTGTAATTTGAATATTTTCGTCTGGAATTTATTTGCGAAAAATTTACATATATACAAATATTAAGTCGGCAATAATGCGAAGAATACTTGGCATTTTGCATTTCGGATAGCTAATAAGGAAATTCTTACCCATTTGATAACAAACGAAATGAGTCCAAGTGCTTACGTACCGGTATGATGAATAAACTCCAAGCAAATGTAAATAATCAACCGAAGGCGAAGCAAATTGAAGCGGAAGGCTCGATAATATTAGAAACAAGAGCTGCCGATAAGACATTTTGCGCCTCCGATGCTGCCAACAATTCTCCATCTTCGACTGAAAATAACCAACGGCAAAATCGTTCAAAGTGAATCGAGCTGGGGTGAACAGAGTTGGGATTGTAGCCTTTGCTTCCATCACATTTTCCAATTAACCTTTCAAAACGTCAACATTATCCCGTTAGACTGTTTGACTTTGTTAATTAGCATGTCAGCTCATTTGGCACAACTTTTGAATTATCTCATGCATTTTTAAGTTTTAACGAATGCTCAAATATGAATCCGAACGACGGTATTCGATGTTTGCATTTTTCTCTTCTTTCTTTTCAAAATAAAAATCGGTTTGGAATTCACTACTCTGTAAACATGTAAACATGTTGTGTAAATAATGCAGTAATAAAAGAGAAACAATTTTGCATTCGGTGTACATGTGAATATCGTATTCTATTTTTAAATTAAGCATACATGCTATGATAATAGTATGGATATTGGATAACCAAAGCCGATGCGGTATGCGTAAATATTTTATTTAAATGGTGATTTGCCTGAAACGATTCTTCAGCATTTTATTCATTGCTATTTCGATCAGGAGAATAGCAAATGAGCCACCAGTACCCATGACTAAAATAAATAGAGCGGCCTTAATTTCAACGATACCAACTGATGTCACTTTGTTTGCACTGTTCTCACAAATTGGCTTCTTCGGAAACCATTTCACCCATTCGCGAGCAATCAGCCCATTCTCTCGCTGAAAGCGTAGCCTAAGCGAGAACAAAGTGAGAGAGAGAGAGAGAGAGAGAAAACATAGAACTGACTGCGAAATAAAAAATCATGATTTATCGACATAAACACCGTACCGTTGTCGAAACAATTCCTTGTACGGGCTATTCCGAGCGATGGTAGCCGTCAACCTTGGTACGCGTAGTATTGTGATTTCGCTCAAGCTACATTTTTCATCGTCGGAGTATGTTTCTTTGATCAATTTGTATGCGGTAGCGCTTTCCAGTTGATAAGCAAACAATTCGGTGCGAACCCTTTCAACGCCTTTGGCCGGATCATATATCCATCCATGTTCGCCATACGGTTTGATTTTCGTTTGATACACATGCTTCAAGATGCTGACATTCTCATATCGAAAGTTGAAACGAACGTATCGTGCATCTTGCAGTCCAAGCCTCATCGGCGATGCGATTAAATCGTCAATATTTTTGATGACATGGCTGGGACTTTGCAAAAGCACCAGAATATTTGCCGAATACGAAATGAACACGAACAGTGCTAAAAAGAATGTGGTTAGAACGAGAATACGCCCAGAGGTTTTACGTAGATGTGAATCCAAATGCGTTGCTTGTTGACACGCCGCTCCGCAGATAAATCCAACGATATCGAGATACGACATTCGTTGTCGCACTTCCGGGTAAATGTATTGTGACAACATCAACAGCCACACAACAATCATTGCAACGATGCACGCTCGCCAAACATCCAACCGAAGTGGCAAAACAAATATATTTGAGATCGAAGCCAACGATGGTTGTCGAAATATTATTGGTGTGCTGAAACGAATATAGTCATATTTTATTTTATCGGAATTTTTTTCATTATTTTTGTGTGTGGTTTGTTTTCATAGATATTGTTTTTGTTTCGTTAGTGGGTGAAAATTGATTTCGTTTTCTGTTTACTCAATTGTACACAATTCCGTGGTGAATTCAACATATTTCATCCGGTCCGCTCGCATGCTTGTGCCATGAAGCAATAGGTCGACTTTATGTTTAGCATACAAAGCCATTACTCCGTCCCATGTATTATTGACCAACCAACCGTAACTGTCCACTTGCATGACATTGCATCTGGAATTTTTGAAATTTTCGATTCAGTTTTTCGCCAAAGTTATGCAATTAATTTTTTGAAAAAGAAAGTTTCTCATTTCTCTCCTTACGTATAATTTAAGTCTTGACCCAAATTCATCATCATCGGATAGCTTGACTTAGTGGCTACATCAACATTTGAATTAACCGGATCGTTCATGTATGTAAATTTTTCCGGAAATGAAATCTGAAAACGTACACATAATTCCTTAATGACTTTTCAAGAGGGGCAGAGCGAGAGAGTGGTGTGCAATGATTTATATTCTATGATACACATACAACAAGAGCGCATCGAAGTTGAATCCCTCTTAAATTCTTTCGTGTTAATTTTGAAAGAAACTTTTGCCGCACTTGCAACTCGCTCGAATGTGCTACGGCTGAGGCAAACAGAGATATTTCCAATGAATGGTTTCGTGCAACTTTGTACACATCAAAGAGAACATATCTGACATTGGGCGCATCGTAGAGTACCACTAGAGCTTCACTTATAGGCAAAATATCAATGGAATTAAGTAAATTTTCCGCCTGAAACTGAAGTTAGAATTTATTTGTTGGGGTCGTTTGACTTGTTCAAATATTTAAATCGATTTGAATGTAAATAATTTCAAATAAAAATCATTCGGTATAAACATGTTCCTACTGATATGCCACCAAAGTTTGTGTCGGTTGCAATGTCGAAGAAGATCCAAAAGTTGTTATTTCTGAATAAAAGCGCTTGATCTTCCTGGAATATTATTTAAAAACCGATTTATAAGGATTCTGACACAAATAAGAATTCCATGTATTATGCCATTGTGAATGGCATAGTTTTGAGCTTGCCTGTTGAAATATAGCAATTGTGTGCTCACACGTGATATCGACCGCATAACCCTGTACAGCATACGATGATGTATCCAAGAGTCGTGAAATGCTTTGAAAATCAGTCACATGTCTCGATTGTATATTCAACGAAGCTGAAAGTTGTACTGAAATTTTCACTCTGTCAACTAAATATAGAGAAATAACATCACATGATTTAATACCGGTACATCGATGAATTTGAGCTCGTTATCCCATTCCATGGGAATATATAAATGCACTTACCGAATTCAAAGCAGGTGAAATGTGTCCAAGCAGCAATGTGTCTAAACTTTGAATATATCGATATTACATCTAAATAATTCTCAACTGGTATGGCGTTACATTTCAACAACAAACTCGAGGCAATGAGTAAATGCTGAAATAGGACAATGTTAGGAGCTTTCGTTTTCATTTTGCTGGCGAAATGCACTCAAGTATTTGCACAATGTGAAAATGTGTGTTGGATACGAAAATTTTGTATCTTTATATAGGAAATTGTGCTGAACTTAAATTGGCCTCATTTATAATCCGAAAATGGGGTTTCTACCACAAATATTTGCCATGAATAAAACAATGTGACAAGCAAATCGATGCGATTTATCGGAATAAAGAGAAAATTACACTCTTTGACAGCTTACAAACAATTCATAATTGAAATCATGGTATAAATATGTTACAAATGTTTCGGCACGTACACTTGCAAATTTTGGAACAATAACAGAATACTTCGTCGAAACTTCAAGTGGGTAATAAATTCATGGATTAAAAAAGAATCGCACCAGAAGAATGTGTTTTTGCTTGTAATTGAGAATATCATGACTTTTGTAATTTATTTCTTATAGACTCGGAAAAGCATTAAGCTAATGGACAAATAGAATTCAAATCAATTTTTTCTTAAATAAAAATTACGAACTTACTTCGACTCTCACTGTATGTTGTACCTACAACATTATCATAAAAATGTACAAACTCGATTAAAATACAAAGTTAGCTCTGTCAATCCCAAACATTTTTTCAAAAAACCACTTGTATCTGTGGTTTACCAAGGAAATTGCCCTAAAAATAATTTCAGAAATAACAGGCAATATTCCTTTTCTTTTATTTTTATATTTATTGTATTTTAATTTACTTCGGTTTAGTTTCATTCAAAAATGAAGTACTTCTCATATATTGTTTTCTCACGATATTTTGTTTTCCAAATTCGAATTAAGTTCAGAATTAGGAACATTCGGGACCAGAATTCTTATTGATTGAACAATGCTCAATGGGCCACCAATATTGAAGTAGAGCAGATCTTAAATAACTGGTTGATATTTATCGTTATACATCCGAACGCAAATGTCAAATCAACCACAAACAAATGCCATTGAAATATCCGACATTTCATCAGATGGCAACGGTATTGCGTAATAACATCGGAGGTTGATATGAAAACATAATCGAAACAAATGACAAACAAAACAATTTCATTAACAAATGTTTATGCTGCAATGTAAACAAATTGGCATCGAGAATTTCGCATTTCGCGTGAACATAATAATACGATTTGGAATGCTGGTAAAACAATTGCATCAAATGAAATGGAATTTTCATTGATAGAACATTACAAAAATGTAATTGGATCAGTCCAATTGAATTTTTCTGAATTTTTCATATCATAACCAAACGTTCGTTCGACAATATATGAATTAAAACTTATGTGCAGACTAACAACCGAGTTCGCTGATACTGCTGAAAAAATGCAACAGAACGAGCTAAATTAGGGCTAAAGAGATTGATTTTGTTTTGTGTTTCTGTTGAGAAAGGATTTAATTGTATTTATTTAGTGTTTTATAAGACAAAAATCGCATTCCATTCTTATGAACATTCAAACAGACATTTTGAACCAACAATAAGCAAATGCCATTGAAACGTGTGGGAATTCATCATACGGCATCGAACTACACACTCTCGTCGAAAAGAGTTAATATAAAATACTAATAGAAACAAATGGTTGTCAAGCGACATCAAACTCATTCGTTATGTTGAACATAAATGTTCATGTCAAAATGTAAACAAATTGGTATAATTGTGCATGTGTCACGAACGTGGAAAAAACTATTCGGAACTCTGGTATCAACAAGTGCATTCAATTTGAAGAAAACAATTAATTAATTCGATTAGTTTAATTAATGAACGATTGTCGAATGAAGATTCAAACCGTAAATATATCATGTCATGCTTTAAATCTATCAGGCGATTCCATTTGATCCGCGTGTGCTGCGCCCATTTTTAGGATAATGTTATGTTTAATCATGATTTCTACTTTTTCAGCTAGTTCCAAAAGACAAAATCAATCAATTAAAAAACAAAAATAATTCTCTGTCAACTGGACCCAATTTTCGTGATGAGTTTATTTAATAAAGAATTTTTTTTTATATTTATACTACACAATACTTTTGGTCCTGCGATTACATTCAAGCATTTCTCCATAAATCAAAAGCGTTGATACAATGAGATAAGCAGTGCAATGTATTTAATAAGATTCAAGCTAAGCTGTGGTTCCCTATATTCTTCATTACATCTATGTACTAGTGCCCATTTGCGATCATTAATTCACGGTGAGTTTTTTTTAGTTATATTTTCTTTTTGCGGTAAACATTGGCATTATATATGATAATTTCGGTGAACATCAAAACCGCAGACAAAACTGTGCCAATAAGCAAGAGGTATAGAGCCGGTTTGACTTCTTGCAAACCAACTGTCATGAATCCGCGCGTACCTTCACAAATGGGCTTCTTGGGAAACCACCTGCGTTTCTGTTTGTTCATTAGTCCATTCTCACGTTGCCATCGAATCCTGTAACACATTTCAATCAGTTTGGATTCTTTTCCTAAATGGATAATCTTTTGAATTACCTTCGTTTTATCAAATCTTTATATGGGCTATTGCGCTCCACGGTAACAGTTCCAATGGGCAAACGCAATAAAGTAATTTCACTCAAACTACATTTTTCGATGTCGGTCTACGTTTGGGTGATGGCTTTGTATGCCGATGCAGTTTCCACTTGAAAAGCGAACAATTGTGTTCGAATTTTCTCAACCCCCACAAATGGATCGTAAATCTAGTGCATGAATTATAAACTCACATGGATACCATTACGCCTAACTAATGTACAAGATGCGCGTTACTCACCCAACCATCTTCGCCCATTGGATTAATTTTTTTCTCATATACTTTGTTGAGTAATGGAATTTTCTCCTGTTGAAAATAATTTCGATTGTAACCAGCTTCTTGAAGTGCCATTTTCAACGGCGATTTCAATAAATCGTCGATCGTTCGAATTATATGGCTAGGACTCTGTAGCAGCGCAACAATACTGGCCGAATAGGAGGTGAATATAGCGAGTGTTGCAAGGAATATTGTCAGCATGATGAAACGACCAGAGGTTGTTGGTACTACTAAATGAGTACCTTGTTGACACACTGCGCCCCACACAAATGACAAAATATCGAGTGCAGTCATTTGTTCTCGAAGCTTCGGATGCACAAATTGTGAGTACATTATTATGATTGCCACAATCATAATTACAAAACAACATCGCCAAACTTGGATATCCTGAATTGGAAAGGATTTTTAACTTTTATCTTCTGAAAAAAATTTTAAAACATTTTCTTTCAAAAGATTACCAACGGTAAAACGAAAATATTCGTAATGGCCGACAATGGTGGCTGACGAAATATAATCGGAGTCCTAAAACATTAGGAATTGAATTAAACCATTTGAACATTTGTACTATCATCGTATGTATGTATCACTGCAATTTTACTCGATAACAACAATTTCAGCTGTGAACTCAACCGCTACCAAACGATCCCCACGCATTATTGTACCGTGTGTAAGCATTTGAATTTTTCCCTGTTGAAACATTCCCATCAACCCATTAAATGTACCATTTATATTCCAACCATAGTTATCCGTTTGCATAATGTTACCACAGCTGAAAAGACGAAACAGCATTCTCTCATTTGGTACGCGATTAATTTTAAATGAAATAAATGTGTTAAATTTCTTAGTATGAGAATGGGATTTCTTCACCTCATATTCAAATTTTTCCTCATGTCTGCCGCAATCGCTCTCGTTCCTTTGTAAAAAACGTCGACATGCTCAACTCTTCGATCATCGACATAGGTGAACCTATCCGGATATTGAAGCTGTGTAAATTGCGAAAATGTTAGGAAAAAAATCCATTTTGTTCGTGTTTTTTTTTTTCAAAACAAACCCCATATCCACAAGTCAGACTCAAGCCTTTCAGATCATCTCGAACTGATTTACTCAGAAATTTGTCAGCGATTCTAACGCGTTGTGTTTCAGTGGTTTGATAAGCTGGATTCTTTATGCTGGTTATAGTGCATTCATTGAAAATGTAGCCATAAACGGACACTTCAAGTGGGTAATGTGATGCAATCTTGTAGATATCGAATAAAATCCAATCGATGTTTGATTCCGAATTATTAGTAAAACTCTTAGCAAACTTTGCGTCACTTATCGGTAGCATGTCGAGTGTACTCAACCACTTTTGACGATCAAGCTGAATTTCGAATAGACAATTCAAATCAACATAAAACCTGTTTTTTTAACCTAGAAAAATCCTTTAGAAAACTCTTGAACTATCATCTACTCACAGGCAATTCCATTTGATCCTCTTCTTCAAAATCAACGAAAAGCCAAAAGTTATTATCTTTGAAGATGATTTTAAAGTCAACCTGGAAATGATTCAGAAATGTTCTCAAAAGCTTCGATTAAAAATCCAACACTACACCACATATACTTGAGTGAAAATGTTGAGAAAATTATCGCAAGCAATATTCACGACGAAACCTTGAATGGTGTTCCGAGGTGTGTCAATCAACCGTGAAATTCCCTTGAAGCGTGTAATGTGTCGCAGTTGGAATGAATTATTTGACAATTTTCCCACAATATACGCATTTTTCGCTAGATTCAATATGTAAAATCAAATACTCGAAGTCAAGTTAAAATCAAAATTTATGTTTTGAATGGAACTTACTCGTCGAAAAGCAGGTGAATTGGGTGAGAACCGAAATGTGTCGCAGTTTAAAATAAACATTGACCAGATCCAAATAACGTTCAACGAAAGCATCCTGCGATGAGGAATCGGTGGCAGCATAACCAAAGGCAAACCAAAATATAACGCACTCGTGTCGCATGTCAGATGATGGATTTATATTGACAGACGTCGTTCGATACTGAAATCGATCCATCAATTCGGCGCCCATTTATACGATGAAAAGTCCTCTGCATAATTGATGAAGCTATGATTGACTTGTTATTTCTTCAAATTTCGTATTTTGCAAATAGGACGAAAAAACGATAATTCGCCATCAATTGGTCACAATTTGATTAGTTCATTTCATTACTTTATGGAGAAATTAGCATTCAATATTCATACAATGAAATGCCGTGGTTTTTTTGTGTGGACTTGACTCATATCGAGCTCGCGTTTACGTTTATTAAATTCATTTACATGCTCTTCTCAATCACAACAATAAATTACCTAGCTTTGATACTAAATACAACTTGTTCTAACGCAATTTCGATTTACAAAATGTATCAATACACTCTTTCTCATTTTCATTATTGTTTTATGTGATATTTTCCGTTTTTTTCTTCTATGTAAATGGATTTTAACTATTTTTTTTTTTACAAAGTACGACATATGAATTCGTTTAAACCGTTTCAAAACACAAAATGATAATTGAAAATTGCTGAGCTGACGTTCGAAACATTTTCGAAAATCACAACAAAATGATGGTACTTTTTTGGTGCAGGCGAACAAATTACAACTAGTCAACGGTCCGTTTGCACGTCGTTGTAATTTCGAATGGTAATTTGATGATGAAAATCAAGTAATTTGCATAATGGCGACAAAAAGAACCCTAGCTCTTGTGCACAAATATATGTCTAGTCGATAAATTGTATATATCATTTAAATCGACCGTCCAATCCCTTAAATCGAATGCGTCGTGATACAAATTAAATAAGGAATTTTCGCACAAAAAGCTGCTTACTCTCAAAAATTGGTACTAAATTGATTATTTAATTTACTTTTTCATTTGTATTCTTTTGCTTTGCTTTGCTTTGCTTTGTTTTGTTTTCTATTGTATTTTTTTTTTCTGTTTGTGTTGTGTGTAACCTGGTAAAACACGGGTATAAATAACAGTTGTTGGATGTGTCTCTCTTAAGTTGAATGGCGTGTTGAGTAAGAAAACACACCGCAATGGTGACGTGTTCTCAATGGGATTCTTTTTTAATTACGCTGTTTCTTTGACTGTTTCGATGAGATGGACTTTGGTTTGTCGTCTTTTTTAGCTGGTTTTGCACCGCCAGTGAAAAATGATGTTATCATTTCGCTAATTTCCGGCATTTCACTGGATATTTTGTTCAGGTTCATGTTTTCCATTTCTTTCTTTGTCTCTGGGTCGTTCATCATTCGTGGTAAAATGACCATGAGTATCAATGGCAGTACCATCATTAGGATCATTGGGCTGAACAAGAAGTCGGTGATCTGAAAATTTGCAAGAAAAGAAAAACACTCGCATAAATATTCATTCATGTCCAGGTTTGCTTGCCAAACCGAAACAAAACACTCACCTTCCATTGTTCACGTGTTTGAAAGTACTTGAATCGTGTGAGCGCCTTCAATTTCAATGGGTAAGGAACTTGCACAACTTGTGATGGCTGAACGTAATTCAGTTTACGTGCTCGGAATTTCCCCTTCGGATTGATTTCCACTCGAACCTGAATGAAACACAACATTTTATTTATCAAATGCACATTCAGTTTTTATCAAGCGAATAATTCATTCGTTTCTGACTCACCGATTCGTAATAATAGTCTGGATTCGATACTTCTACCACATAGCTACCCGATGGAATGCCACTGATGACAAATGTGCCGTCCTCCTTGAGAAAACCCGAATATTCACCGTTGTTTATCGTAATCACTGTGTCGCGTTGCCAATTGAAATCATTGGCCGAATAAATTTCGGGCGCATACACTTTGCCCTCAATCGAATATAAACCACTGGTTCCATCGTATTCCTCAACTACATTTTCACATTTGATAAAGCTAATGCAACAACATATCACTATGAAATAAATATTTATGACTATTGTGTGATTTACAAGTGTTTTCCATTTGTTTAACAGCATTTTGTTTGAATAGCCTTGGATTTTCTTCTATTTGTTTCTGTGATTTGTTCGAAATATGGCTTTAATTTTAATAAATGTTTACACACAAAAATAAATTGACGATTGAAATGGTATGGTTAACAATTTTTTTCTCGTATCTAATTTAGTAGCTTGTGACAAGTAATACAACGTCATTCAATACTTGTGCGATCATAGGCACACACACACACAGGCAATCATGTATGTGTGTGTCGTGCATTTGACATTTCGTACTTGCCATTGGATGCGTTCAATGCGCAAACCATATGTATGAAATGTGTATGTCAGACGTGTATCATATTCCTCATGCGTTTTCTTTATTGTGTTTTTGTCAAATGAAACAATTGCCATTCATTACGAAATTGCGCGAAAAAGAATGTTATTTTGTGTAGAATAAATTTGTTTTATTAAAATTGAACTCGAAATTTATGTGGACAAATCGTTTTCAAGTGGACAAAAAAAGCAGCATCAAATCAAAAAACGCAACATTATTGTAATGGCTAGGACTAGAAACAAGAAGCGTAAACAGAAAAAATCCAAGGTAATCAATCACATTTTATTTTCGCAGTGGAAACTTTTCAATTAAATATGCTAATTGAAATGCATTTCCAAATTGATTCGTATCAATTGATTTCGTTTGGTTTGGTTTGGTTTATTTGAATGAATTTGAGGTTAGAATAGTCAATGTCATAGAAAGCAAAACATCAAACAAAATTCTGTCTCTCTCGCGGTGTGTTTCAATCCCTGTTGAACGCATGTCCTGAACATGTTTTGGCATGAATCATGCCAACAACCACTATGAATAAGCGATTCGTTGTGTTAAAATGAAAATCGATTTTTCCGTTTCGCTTGACTTTAATCCCCATACGGTTTTACATATTTGAAAAACTCGGTCAAAGTTTTATACGCCCGTTTCACATTTCTTTGTCGCTAGAAAAAATGTCATCATTTGAAAAACTCTGGTTTCAATCGTGCGAAAATCAAAAAATCTCCCAAGACACGGCCAAAACCTGGCTGAATAACATTCAAACGAAATATAACACCGGATCACACCGACTCTATCACAATCTCAATGTTTTGAGTAAAAAGTGCGATTTCCTTCTGTCGCTCGGTTCGTCAGTACATTTCGATGATTATTTAGTGTTTGCCATCGTTTTTCAATATTATCAGTTTGACTTGAATACGGATTGTAGTGCACCGAATTGTACGGCATTCCGTGAATTTTACAATGCGTCCTGCATTGATAATGTAAGTGTGACCAATCGATTTGTTTTATTGCCTATCGAACATATGATTGCAAGCGTCTTTGAATCTCTTTTAGGTCAAACTGCTTGATTCAGTGTGTCACTTGTTGGGCGACTCGAATAAAGATTTCTCTGGGAATGAGGAAGACATAGAACTCTTCCAAGACTTGGATTTGATTGTATTAGGGTAAATTGGATTGTGATTTGGTTTGTGACAACACTCCAAACTTCATTACTAAACGTTATTCGTTTTCTTTTTTTCTCACCCTGTCGCGCGTGCTTTTTTTCTCTCATCCTATCGTACGCTCCATTGCGTTTTCTTTTGCACACTTTGGTCATTTAGTTCGTCACCGAGCGAATACAAAGAATACCAACAACTAACACAAAAGGAATATTCGCTGTTGGACGAAACGACATACAAAAACACGCGGCTTCGAGTGAGTGTCATTTCTGATGTAGTATATATGAATAACCAGGACACAAAATGCGTTCTTACACACAACCAATTTTTCCCTTGTTCGATTCCCGTTAGATTTTAGAGACATTTTTACAAATACCACAAATTTACTCGGTTTCGTGTATTTGCGAACAACTGGAGGAGGCAGCACGAGCAAATATCAAACAAGAGATAGCCGAATTGAAGAATTGAAAGAGTATGGTGTGGCATACGCACATAACGGTGACATCGCCTCACATCCAAAAACCAATTTGATGCAAAACATTGCGTTAAGCGAGAGAGAGAGAGAGTGAGTGACAGTACAAAATGTGCAGCATTGTCGTCGGTGACTTGTCGTAGCATAGAGTTGTAATTTGCATTGACTTTTCTCTGCGGTGTGTTCATTGAGTCGAATTAAAATGTTAGTGTGACTATTTTTTGCCGTTTGAATTCGAATATCTTGAAATAAATATACATACATCTATATCTAAATGTGTAATAAAAAATTGATATAAAAAAAAAACTTAATTAAATCTGAGTTAAACGGAGATTTCATCGAATCGAATGAAAGCAGGTAAGTGAATGTGTCGTTGAATCGCCTGATAGAGTTTTTTTGCTGGTTGTCATTGCGTATAAATCTAAAATGTCGCTGTTTAATTCGATTTTGTGTTACACTGACACAGAATCAAATTGTACATTGATCAAATTGGATTTCGTACGGGCCCTCATTGCACGGCCATGAAACTGGATATTGGCCGCATGTGATTGTTAAGTGCTTCGTAACATCACATTGAAATACCGAAAGAAAAACCGAACATTCTGCACTTGAAATGTTTCTGCTCGCATCATTATCCAAACATACGTTTTTGGCAGAGCACGCCAATAAATATTTATATCAGCTTGGATATTTTCTATCGGACATTTTTATGCGAACAAACACGAACAGACATAACAACTCAGCAGTAATGTGTCGCATGGTGAATGCATCCACAAATATCGCATAAAAATGTCCGATAGAAATATTCAAGCTGATATCAGTATTTTTTGGCGTGTTCTGGTTTTTGGATGGCTAAGCAGCTAGTAGCTGCGCGCAGCAACAGACGCCACCTATAAAGTGGTGTTTATTGTCGATATGCTGAGAATATATCCGCTGCATACGCTATGCTAGCTCCGCAGCCATTCAAAAACGTATGTTTGCCATTATCGATGCGGCCTTAAATTATGAGGGTTGTCGCCTACGTGACAAATGATACACACACACAGCAAAGCACAAACTGGCGTAATGTAAGTATTGGCGGGTAAGATCGTAGTTTAATCGATAATTTAGACATTTTTATCTGATTGTTTTGCTTTCGATTCCACATTTATTATTGAAAAACCAAAAGCCATCATCTTATGTTCGTCGAAATGAATTCAAATATTTATTTTTTCACGTTTTTCCCCTTAAGATCAATCAAAGTAGTCAATTGAATGACAGTCGACCCAAACAGATAAACAATTTGAGCCAAAACGTATTGTCCAAATCGGCACAGGTTCGTTCGATATTTATTTTCATATTTTTAGCCGGTTTTTTTTCATGTTTTTCTTGGCTAATCTATAGAAAAGAGCAAAGAAGAAATGGACTGAGTTGTGGGCTAAGAATTTACTCAAAGGACCCACCAGCTCGCAAGATTCGTTAATTGTTATATCACCCGAAAAAACAAAATTCCTGAGTAATACCCAATCAACAGACTATTCAGATTCGGATTCCGATTGCGAAATCATTGAACAAGAAACGCCAATCATTGAGATTGACGCGGACGATGCAACTGAGCCAAATACACAAAACGAAACAAGTGAAACGATAGACAGTGCATTGGCTAATGCGACTTGTGCTAGTGATCCAAGTGACGAAACCACTACCGAACCAAATACACAGCACACCGCTTCAGTTGTTTCGTGTGCATCCACTGAAGGTGAACCAACCGTTGCAAGTAGCGAAGTGAACAGTGAACCAAAAACCAAATCACCGGAGCCAACCGAACTGTTTTTCGTAGACAAAAATCCGGCCACAAGTTTTGAGGCTCCTATTTACGAAATTATTTCCGGTCCAAGTACAAATAACGCTCCAAATATGGCTCAGAATTTTCGCATCACAATTCAGAATAAGGAAAACAACGCCAATTTGGAAAATTCGTTTGCACCAGATCCATTGCTGTCGTCAACTCGCCTGAATTTATCATTTGATGAGGTGGAAGAAATTACGGGCAGTTCGTCGAACAACAGTTCGACACCAAAACAACCGACCAATTTTCACATTTCAATCAATTCAACGTGCGAAAATGGTCCTGGGCGCTGTGTTAGCGTAGGTAAAGCGTCACCAGTTGCAACTACAACAAAGTGGCAACAGGCAAATGCCAACCGAAATAGTGGCACCAGTAGCTATGGTATAACATTACCAGTAAATGGTAATAGCAATGGTGGCCACAACAACAACAACAACAACAAAAACAAGAACAACAACAACAGCGGCAGCAGTAGCAACAGCAGCAACAACAACAATAACAACAAGTCGAACAAGCGAAAGGCCTCGACCGAAATTCGAGAGGAACCACCATCAAAGAAGAGCCACAGCGAATCGTCTGATGTTATTATTGTGAATGACACCATTGCCGATGAAGATGATTCGGTCGTTTTTGTGTCTGAAACTCTCGACCATCAAAATCGAAACCGAGTCGCTTTAGCTCGTCGCTTTGCAGCCAGTCTAGCGGCCGATTACATATCATTGGATCGAGAATTATTGGGTAATGTTTCGGGCAACCAAACCAAGAATTCGGTAAGTCAAATAGATGAATTGCATGTCTCAGCATAGAAAAGCGTCTTCTTCTAAGACGCTTCTCGTGTCTATCTTTCAAATAACTTAATCATTCTCTATCTTGAAAATACAGCCAAAATCCACACGTGCCAAGAGGAAGCAGGAGCGTAAGAAGGCGGAAAAAGAACGGGCTGCTCAAACTAAACTCAAGGGAATAACAAAACAGGTGAAAAATAACCAAAACAACGGCAAAATGAGCCGTTTTGGTGTGAAAAATCCGATGTTACCTATCGATAGACCTGCAACGTTGGCAGGTCCGTCGACAGCAAGAGCAACGGCAACGGTGACATCGAACAAAGCCACGAAGAAAAATGTTGCTATGGAATATGAGAAGGAAAAGAAGCTGTTCGCAGAAAAGCCAGAATTGTTTGAAAAACGGATGATTGTCATCGATGGTAGCAATGTTGCTTATTCGTAAGTTTATGCTCTTCTTGGATCATTTTCCATTTTTTTCACGACATTTTTTTGGAGCTAAAATAATATTGTCCCATTGAACATTCTTATTTCAGACATGGTCTCAAGGATAAATCGTATTCCGTAAAGGGAATAGAATTATGTATCAAATATTTTGAAGACCGTGGTTTCGAAGTTCGAGCTGTTGTTCCACAAATGAGGTATGTTTCGCTTATCCACTCGGAAAGAACCGAAATATTTTCCAATTAAATTGTGATTTTGTTTTTCTGCATCATCAGGTGGAAACGCAACATGTCAACTGATCCCGACACATTGGAGCGTTTGAGGAACGCTGGAAAGGTCGTGGACACTCCATGCAAGAATTTACCAGGTCAACGATCCAGCAGCTATGATGATCGTTTCATCTTGGAAATTGCGGAACACAAGAATGCGGCCATCATTTCGAATGACAATTATACTGATTTGCTTAACCAAAGCGTTGGTGAGTGATCAAACAAAAAAAACTAATCAATTCTATTGTGTTAGTCGATTCATTCAAACGTAAAACAAGTTTAAATTGAACGAATGACGCAACGCTTCTGCCAATTAATTAAGTTGAAATGACCATAACCTCAGGATAGTAATTTTCGTGTTTATTTCGGACTTTCTTTTCCAGTATGGGACGAGATTATCAAGGAACGTGTCGTTGGTTTCACATTTTGCGATGATCTGATCATGATTCCACAGGATCCGTACGGGAAAAATGGTCGAACATTGCAGTTAATACTGCACAAATTGAAAGATGATGCACAAATCGAGTAGATCAACTGATCGGCGAAAAAAAAATACATTTAAAATCTCTATTTTGATATCAAGTCAAATTTAGAATCTAATCGTAGGAAATACGAATATTGATAGTTAAATATATATATATTTATAATCAAAGTGAACAGAACGTCTGAAAGAACGTTACAATGTAGGAAAAAGAAATAAACACGGAATAAATATTATATTTTCAACAATCGTATTTTCAATTTATTGATTTAATTTAGAGATAAAAATTAAAAATATCTGTGCTGAGTTCAATACAGAGCGTGTAAAAGATCTGGGTTCGTTTGAAATGAACAAAATGCATTTGGTAATGGGTTTGTCATTGGTTGGGCGACAGGTTGTCGTACGATGAATTACATGTGAGTACCGGTTGCCCATCCGTGCAAATAAATGGTCGATAAATTTGTGAGCGGTAGCGATTGTCGAATTTCGCCGATTTTCTGTATGTGCTCAAACCATCGCGACACATTCAGGTATTTTTCTTTGTTGGCAGGAGAGAGCGTTCTCATTATTGCGGATAATGAATAAAAGACTACAACATCAGCGAGTGTGAGGCTTTGACCAACCAAATAGGACCGTGTCAATAGATAATCATTCAGTTCCTGTGTGATAAAAAGAATCAGAATTTAGTATCCAATTACGATCATAGTTTATGTGATGATTTTCGACAAACCTGTAACACTAAGTCTCTAGATGCTCTGGATTCAACGGCTGGATCAATAAATAATACCGAATAATCGAACCACTGCACGATTAAACATTGCGTCAGCAAGTCTTTACCATTAAATCCATTATTTTTACTCTCACGTCCCATTGCTGAAATGATCGTTGTGTAGCCAGACAACGTTTTGTCTTTCATCTTTCGACAAATCACCTGAAACATTCAATTCAATTCAATTGCAATTATTAAATTTTTCATCCCGATCCAATTTAGGTTATGTTTAATTTGCAAAGAAGCCAAAGGAAAAAAAAATTGAAAACTTTTGTTTACCTTCTCATTATTGATGGCAATTGTTCCGGGTTGCACTTTCAGATATTTTGCGATACGCTTTAAATTCTCAACACTATTGCTTGCCATTGCTTTGAATCGTACGGGATAAACTTAAAATTTATTTCATCAATCAACACTTTTTCTCGAATGTCCAATGAAATCGGTCCGGACGAATGTTATTCGAATCCAGATAAATGTTACTGCATGCGTGTAACACAGCGCACTCTATCTGACTGATATGACATTTGACACATTGTTGCTGAAAACTAATCGATGATTTTGCGACAAATGAAACGCTTTTATTATCGCAGAAATGGCGAATTTTTTGCTGCACATTGATAACAAAGGTGTAATCAAAATTGTGTGTTGACCCAAAAAATATCAAATGATTGCACCGAACAAATTCGAAGTGATGACTAAATCATAAACGACTTTAGATACTAACGGGCTGACACATTTGAGTATTTAACTTTCGCTTTTTCTTCATTTGACTTTGACAGTTCCGAGCGAAATCACTATCTTTCAAAGTAAATACGCGAACACAATTGTTTTGTGTGTTTTTTTTTTCTCTTCATTTTCTCTCTTGCTCATACGATGCGTCATACTGTAGAAAACATTTAGATTTGCTAGTGATTAATTTATGAACAAATTTACATTAGTACAACAATTGTTTTTCGTCCACACTTGGATTTAATTCGTTTCTTTTCTTTTTTTTCGCATTGTAAATAGTAGATTGTGACGTAAAAATCGAATAAAATAGACATAAATACGAATAACTTGTCATATTTAAATTGAGATTGTTATTTTTTGCACGGTCGTAAACTAGAAAGCTCTGAAAATGTTTTCAAGTGGTCCGAACTATTCGAAATTGAAGACAAACCTTCGATTGGCCGTGAATCGGTTGCGATTATTGGAGAAGAAGAAAACAGAATTGGCACAGAAATCTCGTAAGGAAATTGCGGATTTTTTGAGCACGGGCAAAACGGAACGTGCCAAAATTCGTGTGGAACACATCATCCGGGAGGATTATTTGGTTGAAGCCATGGAAGTGGTTGAAATGTATTGCGATTTGCTGTTGGCACGGTATGGTTTATTGCAACAAATGAAAGAGTTGGATGAGAATATTGCCGAGCCAGTGGCCAGTTTGATTTGGGTGGCACCGCGTCTGCAAGCCGAGGTAGAAGAGTTACGAGTCGTTGCCGATATTTTAACCACAAAGTATGGTAAAGAGTATGCTGAACATGCTCGTACAACGACTGGCGATCATAAGGTTTCAGAGAAACTTATGCACAAGCTGTCCATCCAAGCTCCACCAAAGCTGTTGGTTGAAAAGTAAGTATAATGAAAACTGTTTATTCAGAAGTGGACTTTGTTATGAGTGTTAACTTTTAACCTTTTGGCAGGTATTTAATTGAAATTGCAAAAATCTATAACATTGCTTATGAACCAGATCCACAAGTTATGCGAGAAGAAGGTCGACCCATTGGTATGTGTGCTATTGAAAATTATGTGTTGAAACTTGTGAATTTCACAATCATTGAAACAATTGAATTTTTCCCTGAATTTAATCCATGTTTTATACTCGAACAAATGCAGGTTTGGATGGTATGCTGATCGATTTGCAGCCAGGAAGCAATAACTTAGGAGGTGGTGGTGGAGGTGGTGGTGGTCACAGTCAGCCACCGATGGGTTTCATTGATTTTCCACAGCCACCAGCTTTGCCAGTTTTGCCTCAGCCGACAGGAGCATTCAATTATCCACAACCGGGCACCAGTTCGACTCACAGTGCTCCACCGTTCAGCTACAATATTCCACCGTATCCACAGTTGGACCAGGAGAAAAAGGATTTGAACACTCAATTTTTATCGGTACGACTTGAACGCAATCATATTTCACTCCGTTTGATTTTAATCTAATTATTGATTTTTTTTCACGATTCTAATTGTAAAATTCTATTGTTTTGCATGTCATATTGCATGTCATATTGGCATTATGTTTGTGTGTGTGTGCCGGCATAACCGATGGAAATATTGTAGGGGGAAAATCAAAATTTCCCACCTCCATATTCAGCTATCAATCCGAACGAAGAAATTCAAGTAAGACATTGATGATTAACAAACCGATTTTTCGTTTTAGCCATATTACCTTTATGATTTTCTCTTCACATATGTTACTTTATTTATTTTCGGTTCTACACGATTCCTTTACACTCTTTTTTGCGTTTGATCTATACATAATATCGCTTGCACCCACCCATCCATCCACCCATGATTTTTGTAAATAAACATTAGTTTCGATCGATTCAACCAAGACCGCCATCCTATTCAACTATTGGTAAACCCAATCCACCCGTTGATCAGGTAGCGACTATTCACAACTCAGAAGTCTCTGTTTGAACAGAAAAAAAAACCCAAGGCGATTGCGATTTTCAATGACATTTACTCATATATTTTATGCTTTTCACTTTGTACAGAATTTGAATAATACACCCAAGCCGCAACCAAGATCGAAAATGTCACCGCCACCACCATCAGCATCTGCTCCGCCACGAGCCAATGATGAATTGCCCAATTTGCCAAACGTGCCATTGGATTTACCGGACGTTCCAAACTCAACAGAGGGAAACAACAACGATGAAGATATCGATTTTGATGATCTATCCAGACGCTTCGAAGAGCTCAAAAAGAAAAAATAAGTTGCATATAGAAAAATCGCCTTTCCGTTTGAACCGTGTTCACCACGGAAACTATGGTTCAAGTCAAAATCGAAGCTAAGCATTTTCGTGACTTTAGTTTATACTTTTTTTTTGTAATAGCTCTAGTATTGTAACAGAAATTATGAAGTAATTCGGATGGGTTATCGTTGGATACGAAATTTATATATTTTTTCTTTAAAAACAAATCTGTCTTCAAATTATTATATCACATTTTTAAATGCATCAATAAATTACGTTGAAAAATTTTATTTTTTTGAAACGTTTTATGAAATAAAAAGCGGATAAAATCTAAGACTCGAATTTATTTTTAAAAAAATATATCTATTTGGAAAAATTTGAAAATAAAAAGCAAACATTTTCAGCTTTAATCATATTTCTATAGGTGAGATTGAGAGTAGTGTATGTTTCACTGACTTTGTTATGAAAGAGAAGAGTAAGTTTCTTTCGACTCAAAAATGGTTAAAGGCGAGTATGTTCATTTTTGGCGGGTCCTCGCCGTTTTTCACGGTTTCCGCGGAACTGATAATATATTACATACTCTACTTTAACGCCAACAGAATCATCAGAAAACATACTCGCCTTTTCAAAAATACAAATCGAAGAAAAAACATACTCCACTCTCAATCTCACCCATAGATTTTCATTTAAAAAAAGTAGCCACTTCTCATTTTTGTGTCTGATAATATCAAGCCATCGATTCCATTGTGTTTTTGTATTGCTACGAACGTTCGACGATTCAAAGCCATTGCCAAGCATTATTCAAATGAACGCACGTCTGTTACCGCTGTAAACGAAGCATACAAATATATTAGCGCATCCGAATGCGTGAATGGTCCCACTTTTCGTCTCAAACAGATCCATGGCTTGATATCTAAATTCATTTACACGGCCGTGCACCGGGCAACACTTGACCACTGTTTGCCGCCATATTGGCAATATGTCGTTGTTAGTGGTACTATTCATAGTGATATATACAGCAACTGATGCATCTGTATGGGTTCTTACCGCTTGTACAACAGCATACACATCACGCTCTGAGTTTCCCAAAGATGGCGAACATTTTTTAAGTCACTCGAAGTGGTTTATCGCTTTCGTTTTCGCGGTGCTTTATTCTCACTGTCGTATGTACACATAGGGGGAAAATATACACTAAAACCCGAAAAATTGTTTTTGCTAAAATCAAAATACACGGCGATTTGAGCATTGTGCGGTAATTTAATCCATTCAAACGTGAGTGAATGAAACATTGTGATTCGGTCCAAATATTTTTTTTTTTAGTGTAGTTTTGTTTTATTAAAGAAAAAGGTAAGCAACAAACGCTAACCAAAAATATTATTTTTTTTTTTGTTGTGTATTGAGTAGAAATTTTTCCATACTGATTTCTGCGAGTAATGCAAAAGCAAAAAGTGTACTACTATGCAGTGTGCGTAATTGTGTATGTGTTTTTTTAAATGATGTTATGTTGTGATTGAAAGAGAGATGTGAAAGGAAGATTAATGCAGAGAGAAAAATTTCAATTTTGATCGAAGAAAAAATGAATGAAAAAAAATTATAGCTCAATACAATTATTGCATATCAATTACATTTTGACAGAAAAATGTTGTGACCAAATATCCGCTGCCGCAGAGAGTGATATAGCAAGAGAGCGAGCGAACGAATGACAAATTATTTCACATAGAGGTTTTGGGCAATTTATAAGCAATGGCACAATACTACCAAATAATACAAAATTTGGATGATATTAAGCATTTAAATTTGGAAAATTGCGTGATTATGAATGAAGATGGAACACAATTCAGTCCAAGATCGGTAAATATGTCATATTCCAATTCTACGGTGCAAATAAAAAACACTTCAATTGACACGAAGAAATCCAGTGTGACAATTGAGTGACGCTGAATGTTTATGTGTTTATGTCAAATATTTTAATCGAACAAACAAAAAAAACCACCAACACCAAATTCCAGGTTCAACTAGTGGATCCAAGTCAAGTCATTGATAACAATCAAATTCATCTGCCAGCCAATTCGCAAATAATCTACCAGCAAAATTCACAGCCAAATCAAATACAAACGCCCGATGGCCAAATTCATTATATCGTCCAAGAAGAAGATCTACAAAATGATAATTTCAATCTCGTATCACAAGCTCCGCAACAAGTTTACTATCAAAAAATTGCCACCGAAAATGGTCAACAAATCATTCAACAGCACCATGGTAAATTTTAAATTTTTTTTTTTGCTCGAATTCAAAAGCAAACGTCGGATGCCGTAAAAGCATCTGCGTGGAATTGCGTGTTGTTTGCATTGCATCGAAAAATAAACAAATGCGAGTGTGACGATGATTTTCAGCATTTGCGCGCGGCTTTTTGTGTATACAACACAATGATGATGTTTATATTAATTTGTATGTGTGTTGTTTTTGTCCTATCTCAAGCAAAAGTTCAACCCGATATGCAGAATACCATTGAAGTACAACAAGCGCCATCGGTTCAATATCAAACCTCACCAAATCAACAACAAGTCCATGCACCCCAATATCAACAAATTGTAATCCATAACTATCCACAAAATCCACAAGTTTTGGTGAGTGCTTGCACACAATATACAAACACTTTTTTTCGAGGAGTAAATTTCCAAACAGAAGAAAAACGTTATGTTTATCCAATTTGAGCGCCTTTGCTTTTACAATACACACACGCACATTCACGAGCGCTCTGTTAATGGTTCGGATAGACTTTGATGCAACTTCATAACATGTTGTGATAATAATTACGTGTCCTTAACATATTCACTCATATTTTTTTTCTCTTATGTTCTGTCCGAATAGCAGCAGCAACCACAGCAACAACAGCAACCGCAGCAACAGCAGCAAGTGAATTGTGTTATAAGACAAACACCAACATATGTGTTCCAACAGCCTCAGCTTCAATCATCACCCACTCAGCAAATGGTACAAGTTCAAACGCCGATGCAGTCACATCAGCAAACGCAAATTGCCTCACAACAGACTATGCAAGGTTCGTTTTCGTCTTCATTTGCCGGCAAAGAATTTCGTTTTTTTTTGCACGCCATGAAATTGGCGCCGAATTTGTTTTCAAATTGATTAAACTTCCGTTCAATTCTTTCAGAAATCCAAACCTCACCTCAACTGCATGCGAATCGAATTCAGGTACAATTGCAACAAGGTCAACAACAGCAACAAATAATCAGAAGAGCTATTCCAGTGGAACAAGGTACGTACTGCCCCCGAATACCGTGCCATGGATTACAAGAAAACTAATCGCCAATTGCAAATTTCAGGGAATATTCGACCGAGATATGTGCAGCGTCAAATTCAAATGGTCACACCACAAAAAGTGATGCATCCAGTTGGAATGGTGCAGCAGCAACCTCTTCGATTTCAAACACCAGTGCAAACGGTTCGTACGACTAATCCAACGTTGAAAGCGGCACGACCGAGAGCACCAGCAACGCCACGAAATGTTCGGCCTGGTAATGTCCGGCAAACGATAAACGCTGGACAACAGATGTCGAATACAAGCACACCGAATATGAACCAGCGGCCGCGACTTACTTTAACCCGTTTGACAACCCCAAATCAAGTGAATCAAATTCAACCGATTATATCCGTTGGCACGCCGAAAACCGTTGTTAACATCACAACCCCGCCAAGGGGACCAATCGTTCGCACACCGGCACACGTATACCAGAAACAAAGTCCGTCTCCACAACAGACAAACGTTCAGGCTTCACCGTCAACGTCAAACTCATCGATTGCGACCGAAGATCTGGAGGATTCAATACAAGCAGCCCGAATCACGAAACAAACACCGTCGCCCAACAATTATACAATTGTTCAACCGACACTCCAGCAACAGATCAACGAGGCGAACGATAATCACATCGTAACGCTACAAAGTGGAACTCAAATGTCGGTGGCCGAATACAAACAACGACAAGCATCACAGGCCGCAAAGCAATTGCCTGGAATCAAACCGATGCAACGGGCGGTGGTTCCGAATAGACAACCGAGATTTGCACCACCAAATGTAGTGCGACAACAGAGACCGGTTTTGGTAAGACACATCTTTCGTTTGTTTACACTCTGAAGTCATCAATGGGAAATTAATTTGAATTTTGTTTCTTCATGGAATAGCAGCAGCAGCCAAATCAGCAACAAATCGTCAACACCAACATCCATCAGCAGCAGCAGCAGCAGCAACAACAACAACAACAACAACAACAACAACAACAACAACAACAACA